GATAGATAGATGACAGATAGATAGATAGACAGATAGATAGATAGAGAAATAATCAGATGATAGATAGTTTTAAATAATGAAATATATTTTAATAAAATTAAATTACAATCCATTATTTATAAATAATTATTAATTAAAATATAGATAGATATAATTTTCAATAGCTATATATATTTAAATAAAGTAGCATTTTTAATTAATGAAATAAATAATTTTAAATAATTAAATATAAATTACAAATACATTATGTATTATTTATTTTGAATAAAAACGATTTATTAAATTAAATTGTAGATAGATATAATTTAATCACTCAATGTTATTACAAGTATAGTCATTAAAAAAATTAAAATTATAATAATTTATAATAACTTAAATTCTATATAACATTTAAAATTAAATAAATTATTTTAAATAATTACTTGTATTTTAATAAACTTAAGTTAAGAATACTTAGTTTATAAAATAATTATTTATTTATATAAATAATTATTAAATTACATTTTACACACACACACACACACACACACACACACACACACACACATATATATATATACTGTATATATATATTCATTTGCAAAAACAGATAACTCCATTTTTAACAATTTTCAAAAATCATGTTTTTTCATTGTGCATTCCAGTTAATCTCAATCAAACAAACTGCAGCTGGGTTCTTTTGATTAGGTTAAGAAATAACAAAAAAAAAACAGCTAACTAACACAATAAAAAACATGATTTTTGAAAATAAAAAAATAAGAAAAAAAAGAGTCATCTTTTTTGCAAATAAACTCTTCATATATATATATTATTTTGAATGATTACATTTGAATACTTTTGTATGTAGTATTTGATATTATAACTTCATATAAATTAGTGTCTAAATATGTTAATGTGCAACACCATGTTGGTTTTGGAGACCGTACCTGGATTGAATATCACGGTGCCTTTCAGATAAGCGTACTCCTTGGGGCTTAAATCCAGACTCCAGAACTTCTTGAGGCAGGCTCGAAGCGTCTGCACGCCGGCCAGCGTGGGCTGCTCTGGATCGGAGCTCGGCGTCTCTCGGCCGTTCAGCAGGATTCTCTTCAGCATGCTGGGCGCCGGAGAGTCGTGCACCTCGAAGAGAACCCGGTCCTGAGCCAGACCCAGAATGAAGAGCGGAGCCCAGCAGTTCTGCAGCAGAGACAGCTGGTCTTTAGGTGGCAGCTGCTGGAACGCCGGCAAGCTCTTCATGAAGTGCACGGTCTTCACCAGCACGTCTGAAGCGGTCTGACACGTCTCGCCGGGAGTCTTCAGACAAACCGTCTTGCGTTTCTCGCAGTGGCACGTCTGAGGAACCCTCTTCGGAGTCGACTCGCCTCGGCTGAGGATGTTGAAGAGGATGGCGTTCGACTGTCCATTACCATACACCGAACAATCACAATCCATGTTCTCACCGAATACACAAACACCCTTCTAGAACTCAAGCCTCTGAAGCTCCTATTTATAACAAGCACTCCTGAACCTTGACCTGTCAATCCACATCTGCTGTGAACAAAACAACTGTTTAGCAATTGGGTAAAGGGCGATAAGGTGCTTCAGTGCAAAGCCACCGTAGGCTGGGATATACTGGAGGTGAGGCAACATTATCTCTGCTGAAGTCATTACACCAGCCCGTACCAAGCGACCAAGGACTCCTCAAGTACTCATTATATGATCCCTATCATTACAGACAAGCCTATAAACCCACAAACAGACGAATCCAGCACAGTAAAAGGAGTGAGAGGTGAATGACCCTTGAGGACGGGAAGGATGACTGCCTGAGGAAACCGCTGAAGTTAGAAAACAGACAACTTTTCACAAATAAACTAGTGCCGTCAAACGATTAATCGCGATTAATCGCATCCAAGATAAAAGTTTTTGTTTGCATAATATATGTATGTGTACTGTGTATA